GTGATGTTGGATATCTCGAGCGGTTTCATTACCAGTGTTTGCGACGGATTCTGCGCATCGGTTGGTGCGACAGAGTTGCAGACACGGTGTTGCGCCGAAGTGGAATATATGCAGTGGACTGCATACTTTTACTGAGATACTTTAGGTGGCTCGGTCATGTGTGCCGCTGATACCGACGTTGGTACGGAAGCAGCTGTTATATGGTCAGCTGAGTGTGAGGAAGCTGAAGCTTCGTTACCAGAACATGATCAAAATGAGTCTATCACCTACTAATGTTGATTTCAGTTGTTGGTAATTGAAGGTGGTTGCTCGGCGTGGATGGCGCCATCCGATCACGAAAACACTTGTCACGGTACAGGAGAAAGCCCTCATGCATGCAGAGAAGAAGCGGCAATTGTGGAAGCGGCAGGTGCCGATGGAGTGTACTCCATCGACATCGTGCGCATGGTGCTGTAGCACATGCGGTCGCGAATGCCTAAGTCAGGCAGGTCCAGTGAGCCAAGAGCGAGGCCACTCGGGACCAGTATCTAAACGACGATGGGTGTTGCTGAGAATGGAAGCAGAACCGGAGAAGCGTTGGTAGGTGCGCTGCATGCGCTTCCATTCGATTTACTAACCGCGTGCTTGCATGCAGAATCTATTTATTTCAGGTAGTTGGTTTGCTATCTTGTCTTAAAGTTGACTATTTTTTACCTCATTTTAATGTCTACCTGATTAATCTTCTACTAACTTGCACACGCCGCTTAAGCTAATGATGGTTAACTTCGCTAACCTCTTCGCGTTTGTGGCATATTTAAATTACCTTTTTCCGACCTCTTGAACTTATGGCTGACTTGCTGATGACTAATTTATTTCATATGGTCATTTAGGGAAGAGTTATATCGGCAATACGTACACTTTAACCGATATATTTTATTGGATATTGCCATTTCAAATGACTGGCTGTTGCAAAACATCCCCGGTGTGGTTGCGCTTGATGTGTATGTTGACAAGGTGCCTATCTGTCTGTTACCCACTACCTCGTTTATACCGGCTCCAGGAGACCGTTAGTCGTTGCTGGAGGGGATGGGATGCACGGTCCTTGTAGCCGTGCTAGGCTCGAAGAGGGATTCTGTGCACTCTGTTTGGAGCGGACTACGGCGCAGCCACAGCCTTGTGGTCGCTTGTTTCCCAACCACAGCGCACATGTGTTTGCTTGTGCAGGAGTGTGTGCCGGCTCCGTTGATGAAACGTGACTCCCGTCTACGCGCCTCCCGAGTTTACATCGGATATGAGGTGTGTGCATGGAGCTGTGGGTCGTGCAGCGTAAACCACCCATGGTCCCTTTGTAGGCTCAGGCGTCTTGTGGCTTTCCACATTGACAGGCGCATCCGAAACCAAATGCCGCCAACCATTTATGATATCAGTCTATAAGAATGGGCATTAATAACTATACAATTTGGAGTCGTAAAATTGTAAACTGTGCATTTGTAAAAATGAACCGGTAATGTGCATACACGAAGAAGATGAGTATGTGCTGTCTTTGATTTGCCAAATTACGCATTCTTCTTTTTATAAGGATCAAGATTTCACACAAGCCTGTGTACACTGTTTCGATTTTTACCGGTTTTGCACCATTGCTTCTCGCTAGAGTTTGTGGGTGCATAGGTAACAATGACGAATAGACACCTGTTATTCCCGCGCAACTTCGAAACTTTGAACGAGCCAGCCAATTGGACCGCACACAACCGGATACTGATTGGAATCCAGTCAAACAGAGCAGCTTCAGCCCGGGGACTCAGGGTGAAACCAACACCGGCTTGGCTGGTGCTCGAAGCTGCGTCGTCACCGGATAGGCGCAATGAGAAAGTGCTGCAGGTGTCACCTGAAGGGGATTGGAAAGTGAGCACAGAGCTCAAGTCTTGCAAGCGGGACCCCGATAAGCAGCAGATATCGATTGAGAGGTGTCTAATGTTCGGTCAAGTGCTACCTGTTGACCGATCTGTAGCAATGTGCGTACATTGAGGCATGCCAATCTGAAGAATGATCGAGGGCTCCAAATGGAAGTCGATGAACTGGGCTTGGCCGCTTGGTTGGACATGGACTTGTCGACAGGACAGGAATGACGCTCCGCGTTCTCATGTGAGTTGAAACTAGAAGGTAAAAGCCTGGCAAAGCATGTTTGGGGTGGACCAAGAATTGACGGTTGAAAACAGGGGGGTTACAAGTGAAGCTGGAACGGGTCGGTAAGAGAGAAAAGCGTAATAAAATGGGAAGGCTTGAGCAGTAGCACCCAACTCCCTATTCACCCTGCTCGATGCAATAGATAGGGCACCGTTGATTATCTTCTGCGGTGGCCGGAGCATCAGGAATTTATTTGACGAAAGGTTCAGAGTATTGCGTAGGCAGGATACTGTCAAGTTGCCCAGGCCAAAACCTTTGGTCCAAAAACCTGACCGCCAGGCAGCGGGTTGGGCGCTGGGCTACAAGGAGTCCGTTTTAAGGAATAAGGAGCCACCTCATTCCAACCCCTAACCTGGAGGACCAGGAGGCTGAGTTTGTCTGGCTTGTAACCATTGTCTAATCTGGTAAGTGTGACTTTGAAGGTGCAACAAGCACCACCCAGCATAGCTCAGTGGATCGCTGAGGCACATAAACTATCTCACCACGGTAAGGTCCAGCCTCATTGCGATGGTCCGTAACAAGTGCAAATCCCTTATTTGCCTGTCCCACTCGCACAGGTGACAGCAGTATTTTGTATATCCTAGCTGCAGCACCATTAAAAGTTAGCTACATTCAAATCATCAAAGGGATGCCATCTGTACTTGTTTTCGTACGTCTACCTCATATGAACTGTATACGTTGCTGCAATAGATGACGTGGTTTCTACTGTGAAAACAGTAAAAGTTCACAAAAAGTCTCCATTCTTTTTAGTTATTTCTAAGGCATTGATGAAAAACTCACTGTCCAATCAGAACGCCAAATTATCTTTCTTTTTAATGAAAGGCTCTAACTGCTGATGACATTTTCGGCGGCAAACTATTCCGACAGCTGCTAGATGCTTTTACTGTTAAAGCCTTGTGTTTGCAACTCTGTACAGATCACGAGCAATCAGTTGATTCTTCTTTTTATTTTATGTCGCGTCGATGATACACCGCATGTTGACGGATCAGTGGAAAAACAACTTGACTCACTCTCTTCCCTATCACTTGAATCTGGAAAATATTATACTAGACGTTCTGGAATTGGAAGTCTGTCAAAATGTAAAACTGATCTCAGTACAAGCAGAAGGTTGGATTATACTATACTTGACTTCTTTTGCTGCCTTGTCCCATCGAAAAGACCAGAAAACTAGCAGAATTAAGTCTTTGATATGGTTGCTGGGCAAACGGCATTGCTGATCTTTAGCCATCTGACTTCCATGAAGTTCTGTTGCACCTGTAACACATTTTATATGCGGCGCCAAGTGCTTGCTTAATCGCCTCCATAATTGCAGGGAAATTAAATATGGTATCCTTTCTTCACTTGAGCCGTGACACTCCCATAAATGTAACATTGCTAACCGTAGTAACACATTTTCCAGGCATCAGTGTTCTATACTACAACTAAGAGGATGAACTGGTTAATTAATTAATTTAACTTTGCAGCAGTACCCCAAATTAGATCCTATGAAATGCAACCTATTTTTTCACTGGGATTTGTATACTGTAGTGGTATGGCATGGTATAGCTTACGTTATCAGCAGCTTGTTGTAGTACCTCAACGCACTCGAAATTATGAAATCCACTTTAGATAAAATATGCAAAATGGTATAATGTAACATGCTGCAACATTGCATCATACTTATAATGTTGATACAGCCCAACTAGGTACATTTATCAGATGAAGCATAGAAAATGCATGATACGAAATTCTTCAAAACTAGAACCAGCTAAAGTTTTTCTTCGTCATAATTGTCTTCGACACACAAACACTCTGCATACTAGGACATTTTTCTTCTGTAATGATTGTATTCTTAACCAGTGCCGTAGCACTAGTTGTTTGGTTTTATGGATAAAATATGGTTTTCTGTTCAATCGTACGGCTAATCCCAGCGGTTCAGAAAATCCAACTTGTGGACTGCCTATCGATGTTATACTTTCTGCTATCGTTTTCATTTTTCTAACAGCTGCCCCTTCTGTATACCGGAGCTATTCCTCCAACTTGCGCTGTTACCGTTTAGAATTTGCAAATCGTTGAATTTGAGTTCACAGGCGATTCTTCCATTCAGCTGTGGAAGTTCCCTTGGTAGATTTTGAGCCGTTCGACTTGTAGTTTGACTGAAGATGTATTGGAGTACGCCGTATCTAGTTGCAAAGACACCAAAACATAGTTGAGATTCCCTGCGCACTATTATTTCTTGCATGAAAGTTAATCGCAGTAGGTTACAGAAATTGCCTTCCTCGTTTCATCCTGAAACCCGGTCATTTTGAGTTTGGAGCTTGCCTGCAACCATGTACCAAGTACACATCTATACTTGTGCAGTACTTGGTAGCGCGTATCAATAGCCTAGAAGGATTAGATGCTACCATAAGGCTATGTTATCCCCGTACTATGTATTTGTGTTCAGTATAACGATCGTTATTAGTATTATTGTTGTTATTATTATTGTTTGCCTTTTACACCGGAGTTACACCACCATTTTATTGCTAGATTGGTGATTCATTAACTAATTGCCAGCAGTCTCATTCCATATGGTCTTTGCCGGTCTAAAAACAGCAACCGCCCTGTTACGACTCCATGCTTTTACCACTAAGTTACGTAAGAGAGCAACGATCAACATGACTAAGTTGCTGGTGGTGATGTGGTGCTACTCACTCTCCACTGACTTGCACGTTGCTGTTCAAACACCAGTTCATCAACATTAGCCTAGGATGAATATTTCATCCACATTTTGTTGTTCTCTAATTTGCTGTTCTGGAAATTGGCCGGTGCACACGAGGTGCTTCATGCGTTAATTATTTCCTTTTACTTCTACTCAGAAACACGGTCAGCTCAAGTTTACTATGCGTCCAGCTGCCGAACGTCAGGCAAGCCTAAGTTTGGACGAAGCCTATTCACATGAGTCCGCCATCGACCGATCCCATTCCGTCGCTGCTCTTCATCTGAAAAAGCGGAGTGCCATGAGGTCCGTAAAACCGTTTATTACAATTCAACGAGAGAGTACCCGTGATTTAGAACAGCCAACTGCAGCAAACAGCGAGCGTGCTCAAATGATAACTGCGCCTATACTAACTCCAGCTGACAGTTCAACCGTTCCTTCAAATTTACTCAAAAGGTATTCTCGAAAAACAACTAGTAAAACTCATACCGAGAGTCTAGCATTATTAGAGGCGGAGGAAGAAGGTGACGATACTGATTATTCCAAAGATGAACTTTTGGAACTTGACGACTCGCCTAATCCATCTGGTATCTCAAAATCAATGAATTTCCTTCCAACATCCTCGAACATAAGTCATTCCCGTTCCATCGAAAATGTTATGGAAAATGTCATAAAAAACTACTCACTTCCATTTGATGATACGTGTAACAGCCATATGAAGCCGGTCAAGACACAATTGTCCGATGCAGCTGCGGTGTCTCTCTCAACTGCGAAAAACATTGCACGCTTTTATTCTGATACCGAGGGCCTTGACGTTCCGATTGACCACGGTTTTGAGACTGATATACATTCGTCGAACAATTCTGTGGGGCACAAACCGCCAGTACATAAGGTTAATAGGGCTATTTCCGGATTTCGTAGAGTATCACCACTTCCGGATGTTGCAGAGGATCTTAATGAAACTGGGGAGGCTAAAGAATCCAACAGATACTTCACCCCACCTGACAAAACGGTAATGCGTGGTTCCGGTGCTTTTCACAGTATCAACCCTGATGGTTCAAGCGTGGTTAAACGGGATGTAACCGATAACGAATACTGCAATGCGTCATCTTATACGCAAAAAGCTAACCCTTTGGACAACGTGGTATACGACATTGGCACACCGGATGACGTTCCGAAATGCTTACCGTCCATTTCGACAAGTCTCTCACCCGCATCAGATAACCGTTCCATCATTGAATTGTGCGAAGAGGTCAAAACTTGGTGGCGCACTCAATTAAATTTCCCTTTCATTTTCCCGCATTCCCCATACACCTACTCAACTTCTGTTTGCGCGCCTGACACTACACGCTATCAGCTTGGCTATGGCAGCGTGACTAATCCGGCTTCGTCGTTAACCGTCCGTACAACAGTGAAGATGGGTATGCCTGGCATTTCCACTACAGGTACAGAGCGACACTCAGGAGCAGCAGGTGCTATCGTTCGCCGAAATCATACAGTGCGGAGCGGTAATCTGATTACTTCAAGTACCAAAGGTGATGACTTTCTGAATTCGCGCCACCCCAAGGTTGGCGAATCCAGCGTTGGTTGGTTCCGAAGTACCGTGGCTTAGATGTACCTACTATGGTGTGCGCCGTTTTGTGGCATTTATTGAAGACATTTCGGATTCAACTCTGGCTTGTTGTGAGCTCTTTTTCGATGGGCTGGAGTTCCGATCTTTTTCTTCCAATAAAACTGCGGAACGTGCTTAAACGTTCGGTACAGATTTCGAAGGACTTTTCTTTGCCTACCCAGCTGCATGCTATCGTGTGCCACCAGTTTACTTTGATTGGTAGTGTCTCATTCGGGCGTACTTTTATTTGCTTCCTCTACTTTCCGCTCTGTGACCAACGTGAGCGTGAATACAAATAGAGAGAATTTCGATATTTTATCGATCACCACTTTCCACCATAGTTAAAGGATAGTTACTCCCGCACTTCAAATTGGGGCGGACCAGACTACTTGCAAGCATTCCTGCTATCTTTACGACCATTGCTTCAGTCTAATATGATACTCTTTCTCGTGCAGAATTATCCTTTGCAGAACGATAGCAGTTGCCAATATGGTGTTAGAAAGCGATCTGCAATTATGTAACTTGTCGGACTGTCTCTCTAAGTCATTTAAAACTTCTCCGTAATGAGATACGAGAATTTATGTATTCAGCATTTCGAGATATACTGTGGATTCCATAACCTAATCATGCTACTACGTGATCATTTTGTGTACTTTTCCTGGTCATGCATGTGTATTCCTGCATTTACACGTGACAGCTGTGTAACCATCTGTCGGAACGATACCATAACATTGCTCGCATCATTCTTGCTGGGCAGAAAATTCTCTCCACAGTTGCTGTCTTTTTGTCCTTGTATCCTGTATCTTCGGGGATAAACCTACCTGTTTGCATGCTGCAATAGCTGTTCTTTCATCCATTATACGTGTCATTAAAATCGGACGATTTCTTCGTGCATTTATTTTCACGGTTGCACCGGATTCTGTCTCATTAACCTGGGAATGCGCATAGATCAGTTCCTGAAGAAAACGGATGCGATCATGTCCTCAGTTTTCACATATGCTTATCACGTGTGACAAATTTATCCTTTAGACTAATGCTCAGGACAAAATGTACCATGTGCACTCTGTCCACCAAGCTTTATTCATAACACAACATATCCATCTGTCGGTCTAGTTACACATATTTTCTTGTTGAAAATATCGACGCACGCGAAATCTTTCAATGCATATGAATAAATTATAGGTACGATTAGGTCTTCTACAGACCCTTCTGTAGATGTTGGGTTTCTTGACAAAACGATGTGCCGGAATTCACATGGTTACCTGTGGTTATCTATAGAAGAACACTACACAGACTAGCAGGGAGACACCGGTTAGTCGTTTTGCAAGTGCAAACTAAATTAAATTTCTAATGTACAAGGTTGCGAAGAGCACACATTTCGATTAATCGCATCAGGAGTTCACAAATATAAAATGGAAAGTTAAAGCAGCAACGGCTGGTAAAGCGCGACAAAGATTCGCGAATCAAAGCGAGGTAGTAAGTAAGCTGTCTTAAAAGATAACTTCCTCCGATTTTCACTCCGTTACGAAATGGATTTTATATCTGCTTGAACCAGTGCGCCGCGAGTTTTGCATTTACGCTGTGAAGACACATTCGAATTTGTGATACAAGTCGAATACATGAGATCAAATAGTAAATCGGTGCTTTCTTTCGACGTTGAATCACTTGTTACGAACCTTCCATTGATAGAGACGGTTAATTTTATTCGTGATTATTTAGACCAAAGGAACATAGATGTGCGTATTCCAGCGCAGAAACTGAAGGAATTAATCTTACGATGCGCTTTCAACAGACAATTTTTATTTGATGGAATCTACTACAGACAGATCGACGGAGTCGCGAAGGGGTCTCCCCTAGGACCGCTTCTTACTGACATTCTACTTGCTTTGCTCGAACATCGACGTATAAAACCCATCATCTCTTCAGTTGGTTTCTATTGCTGATACATGGATGACACGTTTGTAGTCTGTAATTCAAACACTGAAGTTTCCAGCCTGTTGAACCGGTTAAACAGTGTACATCCACCTTTGAAGTTCAACAGTGCAATCGAGAATGATGCCAAACTGGCCTTCTTGGATGTTTTACTAAGGAGAAAGGAAGACGGTTCACTAGGAAGAAGTGTGTCTCGGAAACTGACGTGGGTCAGCCAATACACGCATTCTTCAGTTTTGTACACTCGTACAAACGGAACCTTGTTCGTTCCCTGCATTTTCGCGCCACCAAAATTTGTAGCCCAGCGACATTGGATGCCGAGAAGAATCGTACTTTCCAAACTTTGCAAGTAAACGGTTACCCAGCTCACTTCATCCGAAAGCACGCAGTGTTCCATGATCGTCATGAATTGATTACAACTGTTCCCACGAAAGTTGTGTGTCCTTCAGTTCCCTTCAAGGGGGAGATTGCATTCGATTTGCTGAACAAATGAGTTTCCGCTGCAGTTGCTGGAACGTTTTCAGCTGCCTATCCACACATCACTGCCGGAACCGTGCCGTTTGTTGCCCAACGTCTTAAAGACAGAATCCCGGTCCAGTCGGCTTCTTATATTCTATATCAATTTACTTGCACCTGTGGTATGAAGCACGTCGGACATACGACTAAGCGTCTGTTTGAACGGATATCGGAGCATTGTCTCAAGGCATTGCAGAAAGGTACTGTCGGTTGCAACCAGAGTTCTATCCTAGAACATCTGGTCGAAAGTGGACATCAGATCACGACTACTGATGCCTTCAAAGTGTTTCATGTTGTACCAAAACGCTACCCCAAGGGGCTTAGGAAACGAATGTTACGGGCGGCCGAAGCCATTGCCAGCAGACTTACACAACCAGAACTCTGCTTACTCACGCGCTCCTTCTGCCCTGGGGCTAACACGCTCCAAACTGCTTTCATTCCACACGCTGACAAACAACGGGTGATGAGTGCGTCACCCAATCAGTTGAAAAGCACGTGTTGTCTTGTGAGCAAATGTGTGTGTCTAGGTCTGCCTACGTGTACTGTGGTAGCCGCTGTTTGAGTTGATTGACCAATTTATCGATTAAGACAGCTCAGTTTCTGCCTCGCTCTCATTCGCTAGTCTGTCGCGCTTCACCAGCCTGTCCTGCTTCAAGTTTCCATCTTATGATTGTAAACGCCTGATGAGACTTATCGGGAAGTGTGATTTTCTAATGCAGCGACCACGAATGATGCAACGGTATTACAAACCGATTTTCATGTTTGACGAGGCATAAGATTTGGTTGTTGTTTTCGTGTGTTATCTGATAGTGCATATTACGCCTATATCGGCATTGCTAGGCCCCGTGACATTATGGATACAGAATGCTTAACATGTGATATTGGGTAATGGGATGTGTTCACCAAGCAAAATTTTTGCACAAGTTTTTCAAGTGCATTTTGAGAGTTTTTTTTGCTCAATTGTATTTGGTATTATCGGATATCGGTTGGGACACTGACGTTATACTGGAGCAAGGTAGGAGCCTAGAAAAAGGAAGTGCAATGGTAAAGTGCATTAACGGTTGTAAGAATATCGATGATAATGAAGCAGAATATGGAGTCGTTTTATGTTTGTTTCTTTCCCTCAGTATACAGTTGCTGTTGATAACATCGGGGTTGGCGTAGGCGAAAGAAAGAAGTTGAAGTCGGTGAGTGTAGAGACAATCGTTTTCTGGATCATATTTATCCTGAGTTTTTGTTCGGATGCTCGGCTATTTGTTATGCGATAACAGGTGGATCACGTTTCGCTCGGTCAGATAATTACTGGTCCTTTTGCCAACTTCGTGCTTTGATTTGTAAGCACGTATTTCGGATGATACTATATATATATATATATATATATATATATATATATATATATATATATATATTGGTATGCCTGTTAAGGAAGAAGTTGGCGAATCTAGTGGTCTTTGACCTTCATGCAACTACAGAATACTCCTTAGTTCGTGTGTTGTATAATGGTGATTTTGTTATTGCCATGTTAAGGTTAAAAACATGCATTTTCGAACACTTGGAATATAATTGGAACCGGTTGAGGAACCATGAGATTTATGTACAATCGGTTGGTTTAGTTAGTTGGCAACGTTTCACTTTTGACACAAAAGCTTCTTGACCTGAGGAAGCTTTTGTGTCAAATGCAAAACGTTGCTGACTAAATAAACCAATCCATCGTCTACAAATCTCACCGAATATCTACGTTTCTTATGCAGGACATTAAAGACTATGATTAGGTTGTGTCTCATGCGCCTCAGACACAGGTTGTCAAGTTTGTTTCTCAAATCTTTCGAAATATTCCATTTTCGATGACCTACCTATTAAGTGCTTTCTGAATGTTCATTTTGCATTTTCTAGTACAATGCGGCCACGTTTGCTTGTGCTACCATATACCATTGAAAAATATTCTAATAGGGGACGTGAAATGATGACTAGGCTCAGTCTACACGTTATTTAATAAACATGTACTAAATAACATTCCAATGCCCAGTCTGGCCATTGCAGTGACGAAGCTACTTCTTCAGCGAAGTTGAGCGAGCATGTAAATCTCAGGCCCAGGTCTCGAACGGTATGGCATACATTAACTGGCTCATCACAAATTTTCAGACCACTAGATGTTATGTCGCATTTTTAGGCAGTGTAACACTTATCTATCGTGAATAACACTCCCTACTTTGAGCACCAGGTTCTGAGCGCCTGGAGGCCGGGGTGGATCATGTTATTAGCTATGTTTACGGTATCAGATTGCAAGGTGTAGACAATTTTGATATCACTAGTAAGTAGCAAGAATTTAGTTGTACTTTTAAGGTGTTCATCCCAGTAGTTCACAAGCTACATAGCACAGCCTCTCCCAGAGACGCACCAGAGTCTTTTCGCCCTATTGTTGCTCTTCAGTGATGCGCATTCCTTCGGTCCCCTACTGGCCTGGCATTCCGCTATCAATGCAGTTGTTTACACCCCTTTGGCCGGGTGAGGGGAATTTAGAGCGACCATTTACCATTGGACAGTTGGCAATTTAGTGCGCTATCTTGTCACCTTGTTCACCGAACAACGGACTAAAAACGGACTTGTCTTATGAAACACATGGTGTATATTTGAAGTAGACAGTCTAACATGTTTGATTTATGAGTCATTTGAGGCACTCGTTTCATGATAGATTTGAGACTGCAGTCTTTGTGTGGACCGCGATTCACAATAAAGTGAACGTTGGTCAATTCGACCATGACGGATTTATCAGAGATACGTTTGTTGTTGTCGGCCCAAAAACACTACACTCCACGACCTGTCTCGACCTTGCTTGTTCTCATCAGGTAGAGATAGCAGGCATCGAATTCCTGCACACAAAGACTGACTCAACTGACCCACTACTCACTGCTAAGAATAAATATGCTCGAAACAGGTCGAGAAGTGCAGTGTTTTTGAACGGGCAACACCCATAACTCCTCTGCAACATCAGAAATGCTCCCAGTGATGGGGTTGACCAAGGTTCACTACACTGTGAATCACGGTCCTTAGTGAGATAGCGCGTGACAACCCATCTACACGACGAATGTCTCAAATAACCCACCAGTCAGTCATCAACCGTTGTGACAAGCGTTGTCCGTCGTGCCTCATTGGCTAAAGGGGTAGAGGTCCTAAGTAATGTTCCAGTGCTCCCGTGTTCTATGCGTACTACATCTACCTGATACGGTGAAATAATCTCGGAACCGGTCTTATTTTCTGACGAGCAACACTCAATGTTTCTCTGCTACACTAGCATTTGTTTATGTTATTAACATGCCGAGCCAGATACACGTTATATATTACGCTACCAAACAATCCACTATGAATTATTCAGCTTTATTTTTCATACCCATATTTAACCAAGGTCTCAGATACTCGAGAAATTATTGTTACCATGTACAAAGTAAAATCGTTAAAGGTTATTTAGACCAACTTATCGACTCGTAACTCGATGTATATGTTCACATACACAGGAAGGTGAAAATAGTGACCGCTACCGGGCATAGTCAACGAAATGCGTCGATTTATGACAACACGGCAGTCATGCTAAACGTTGCTCACCGGGTAACGTTAATGATTTGCATCAACTCTCCTGTAGTACACGTACGTATTTAGAATGTGTATCGCAAACAAATGAAACCAAAATTCTCTCGATTGGCCGAACGTCAGTTACCGGCTTAATTTTACTTACTGGCCATCT